GACTTGAATTTTGCATGATTTAGTTCATTTGTTAGATTGTTAACATCTTGCACTATATTTCTTTTAGTTGAATTTTATATGCTTTGGTTGAGATTTTTTTTTGTTAAAGAATTGACTCTAGAGTGCATATTTTGTGTCCATGAAAAAACTATTACAGAAAATATTACAATATTAAAGAACTGTTCTTGTTAATTTGATGAAAACATTTTAAATATCCAGTGCACTCACATCAGAATAACTTTTAGATTTGTTGTTAGAAAAATGGTTTCCAAGAGTTTTTAGTCTGATTCATTATGGTTTTAAATGGGTTATAAACTGTCTAATGAAAAAAAAAAGTTTCATTCTCAATATCTCTAAAACCACAGCAGCTGTTTTAATACTTACACTTCTGATGAAATCAAAGTGTTGCTTTATTTTGATACCAAGATTATTTAAGTAGAGTTTGTAAATGCTGAGAAACACTCAGTTACATTTCAGCATGGGATTTAGAGAAAAAACATCAAGAAAACTCCTCGGGGCTGAAGAGGTAGATTTGTTATTAGCAGACCCATGCATGCCACCACTCTGCTTACAAGCTCTAACAGAGCATGTGAGATCACAGAAGATGAGAATGCACTTATATTGTTACTGACGAGGTTTGACCAAAAGCCTTTTAACTCCCATCATTTCCAAACATACGATCTTTGTCTAAAACTCTGACATAAAAAGTGTGGGTGATTTTCATTCCTTCAAGCAATGCTAGACCTTTAATTCAAGAGATATTTGAATTATTACTCCTGTGGTTAAGGTGTAAGTTTATAATTTGCATCAGATGTGTTTAATATTTAAAATAGGTTTAAGTGTACTTTACATGGGCAAATGTTTTTTAGCATTAGTGTGTAGAGAAGACCACATGTTTTAAAAATGGTTGTAGAATCGTGACTCTGGGCTGAAGAGGGGATCCTTTTTGGTTCCTGTCAGGGATGGGCCCGGGTGGGGACTGCTTACGGGGCTTTGGCATGTGCAGTCTGGGGCGGGGAGCGGAGTTACCAAAGATCTGTAAGGGGACTCCCAAGATAGAGTGTACAGGCAGCCCCGCTGCACTTAATGCACGAGTTATGACTCATATCCCGCAGATGTTCCGTCTCCCTCGTTGCCAGACCTTTCTTACTCTCTTCTGTGGCACTCCCTGAACATAGCACAGCGAAAATATTCATGTCTGAACCCACTGAGTATAAAGCAACACTTGCGGACGCTGTCAGCTGTGAGCTCGTCATGAATGTTTGAGAGAAAAGACACGCCCCTCTCTCATGTGGGCTTCCTCCATTCTGCATGAGGTTTGTTGCATCGATTAGGAAAGATGTACAGAAAGGCTTCCAGTATGACAAATAATTGTTTAGTTATTTGACACCAAACAATCTCAATATGTTGCCAGATATCTGATTTGTATAAAAGCTGCCCACAGAGTGTGTGTTTGAGCATCTGTAAGTTTTGATGTTTTATCTTTACAGACTGATAAGCCCATAAAGGTGGTGCTGAGTCCCGGTGCGCGCCGTGTTTCAGGATGCTGTCGGAACTGAGCGAGTGGTTTTGGCAGGAGCGGCTGTGGTTTCCAGAGGGTCTGGGCTGGTCCGACCTGGAGGATCGAGACGGACGAGTGTACGCCAAAGCTCAGGATTTATGGGTGGCGCTTCCCATATCCTTGGTATTCCTCATCATCCGTCAAATCTTTGAAAGGTCAGATCAGTTTGTACTCTCATCCACAACTATTAAATATGTTTATGTCAGATATTTACTGTTATACTACTATTTTTTTTTTTTTTTTTTTTTCATTTCTTTTTGTTTGGCTGCTCCTGCTCTTCATTTTGTTCTTCAGTTTGTCAGTTAGCTGTACCCTCTGCAACTCTGATCATTTTATAATGATGGTTTATCACTCATGTTCTCTTTCTCATTATTTTATACCCCTCCCAACCTTCAGTCACATTAAATGATATGATTACTTGTTCAAACAAGACAGTTGCTTTTATTTACCTATTTAAAGATGAATGATAACAGTTTGCTGTTGCTCATAAAGCTGCAGTATGAAGCTTGTGCGTGAGGCTTTTACAAATAAAAACGTCATTAAATGTTGCAGTATTAGCTTAACTTACAATCAGTGGTTTATTTTATTTTCAAATTAAAACTTACATGCAGTTGTGATATTATCGTATATATTCAGAATAACTGTCAAATTCACAGCTAATCTAAGGTTTAGGTGATGTCAGCGTTTGTTCCTAAAGAGTGTGGTGTAACGACAACACACTGCACATGAGCACATTTCACTCACTCACATTCAGATGCCAGACTGGAAATCTGATATTTTGCTAACGCCACAGATATTTCATAGCAGCATCCTGTCTTTAGTTTCTCTGTAGTTGCATTTACTTAAGTTAAAATGGTCCAGAATATTCTAATTAAAAGTCCTGTAAGAAATAAAAATGTCTTGGATAAACTCTTGGATCAGAAGAAAGAGATCACAACTAAAACAGTGTAACACAGTAATAATCTGTTCAATTAGAAGATATTAGCCCTGACATTCCTTTCTGGTTTTATTTTATTTTATTTTTTCTGTTTTTGTTCATCCCTAATGATCATGTTTGGAGAAGAACATAAAAATAACAGTCAACTTGGTATTTAGAGATCTTGTCTCCGTCGGTTGTGTTTTGCTGTTTTTGTTGAGCTGTAGAAGTCCTGAAAAATCTCCTTACAGAAGAATTTTGCAGCTGACTTTATTTCTCATTTAAAAAAAATCTAAAAACAAACATGTTTTTACTTGGAAACAATGTTTTGTATGTTCATCTTGATTGTGCTTAACTGAATGAGTTGATTTTTGTCTTTTAAACTGAGAAAAAGTCCCTTTCCTCTTTATCCTGTTATATTTGTATCAGTTCTTTGAAAATAACTTCCTTTTAGATGATGCCCTCAGTGTGCACACATCCTGTGTGATCACTTGATTTATTTAACAACTTGAATTCTGAATAATTTCTACTTGACTGGAAACATATAATGTTTAAAACATGTAACATTTTTTAATGTCACTCTTTAATTCTCACTAAGGCTTTTGTGATTACAGGACAGTGGCGACACCGTTGGCCTTTCTACTTGGTGTGGATCAGACAGTTCGGCTCAAAGCCCCACACAACCCCACACTGGAGTCCTACTACTGCAACATTACCAAAACCCCCACGCAGGTACACTTCTTTACACTTAATGCAAAGACAGAGCTCTAAAAAATAATTTATTGCTAAAACTTTACGTCACTGTGCTTCTCTCAGTCTTCAGTAGCAAACCTTTGCAAGGAGAATGGTTATTCAGAAAGACAAGTGCAACGATGGTTCAGAAGAAGAAGAAACCAAGACCGACCAAGTTTGCTCAAAAAGTTTCGAGAAGCCAGGTGAAAACACACAGACACGAAGCGTGTCTTCTACATTTATGATTTAAAACTGCACAGCAGCTGCACAGTTCCTCTGTTTACATGCGTGTACAGTATGTCTCGATGCAAAAGTAGCCCTCTATTTTTGACATGCATTTATTACTGCGCCACTCTGTCATTACCAGGCCTTTTGCTTCGGCTCTTGGCATGCACAGACACACAAAAGCCCTCAAAGCAAACTATCAGAGTTTCCTGGTTTCACCTGTCAGGAACTCTGTCACCGCTGATGCTTGTTTTTAATTTGTGTAAACGTACTCTGACAGGAGCAGAATTAAACTCAGAATTGGGTCATCCAAGGCTGCTGAGACATGTTATTATCACCTGATAATGTAAATGTGTTTGTGTGTGTGCGCACACGTGTACTACGAGGTTCTCTCGGTAGCTGTCCTGAGTGTTTATTGTTTTATGAGAAGTCATTCAGTTACATTATTTTACAGCACTTACAAACTGATTTAACAGTATGTTGTGTAACAGTATCCAAGTTTTAGACTGAATAGCCTCTATGCCACGGACATCCTGTCCAGCACTTGGGGCCACGCCGATCACTTCCAGTTTGTGGTCAACACAGTGTTAGCGAAAGATTTTTTCACCTGACGACTCTTAATGATCTCCACAGTACAGAATTADCATATTACATGTACCAACATTAACACAGGAGACGTACAGGTCCAGCCAAGTGGGAAAAAAATCACTCCAAAGTGGATTAAAGCCATAAAAACAAAGGAAAGACGTTCGTGTTTATGGTTCCAGAATTTAGCCTTTTTCGCTATTCTGTGGCTGCTTGTTCTGTGAATTTTTCACGTAGAGCTGTGACACTTATATTGTTGGAAAGAGCAGAGTCTGAGCTTTAAATTGATGGGCTACTTGTATGGTTTGGATCGTTTTCCCCGACGTTAGTGAACTGAAAACGTAATGATTTTCAGGTGGAGGTTCTGCTACTCGAGGGGAGGGGGCGCGCTCGTCGCTCGGGTTTTGTTTACGCTGTAATATACACTCTAACAAGTTTTTACTTTTGCCATAAAACTCATGACAAAGTTGCCTAAAAACATTTCACAGTCTGTATAACAAACACACACACACCTACCTGTACCAGCTGCTGTGTTAGCTTCCTGCTAGCTGTGAGGAGGTCTTTCCTCTCTTGTCTTGCAGTAAAAGGGGATAAATGTACATTTCCCTTTTGTAACCTCCGTCTTCTCATTTCTGATGCTGGCTCTTGAATATCCTCAGGTTAGAAATGCTGATTACAAACACAAGCGTGAGCTTTTAAAGATAAGTTTTCCCTGTAATGCTATGATCCACAGCTGTCACCTTTCCTCCTCATCAAGAGGAAAATGGATAAAAACTAACTACTGGATCGTACCTGCTGGTTAGTGGACACAACGACACACAACAGAACTCACGTTTTATACCAGTAGCTCACAGATGCTTTAACTTTTGTGACTTTTTCACGGAGTTATATTAGGAGCTTACACTAAAATCAAAGGCAGTAAGCAGGAAGTGGAAGGGAGGTGCATGGCCAGAATTTTACCGGAAATACATCATTAATGACCGTGGCATGGGCTATTTAAAGAACTTTGTGGTATTTCATATCTTTATTTACTGTAAGTCATGTCATGAGATCTGACTGAGGCAAATGACACAAGGAGAAACACTTTAAGACAGGGGTGTCCAATCCTGGTCCTCGAGAGCTGCTGTCCTGCATGTTTCTCTTATTTCTCTGCTCCAACACCTGATTCAGCCATTAAATTACCTCTTCAAGTTCTGCAGGTTAACTGCCCCTTTATTCAAATCAGGTGTGTTGGATCAGAGAAACCTCAAATCGTCCCTGCTTTAGAGGTTTTATGTGGTGACACTTAGCATATGGTGTGTGTGTGTGTTTGTGTGCAGGCATGTGTGTCTTTGTGACTCTCTGGTGATGGTGTGATTTTCAGTGTGATGGTTGCAGCTGAATGGTTTTTTTCCCTTCTGAATCAATCTATTGTCTGTGAGGACAGCAGGCTATCTGTCTCTCCTTTACCCTCTGTTTCACTTGTGTAGCTCTCACTCTCGCCGTCTTTTCTTACTGTGTTTCAACAATTCTGTGTCAGTGACTCAGTGCTGCAGCTTTTTCTGTTAAATGTTGGTACCACGCTCGGGATGGGTATATTGGCAAAAAAATTAATAACGACTAATTGTGGCATTTAGCCAATAACGATTAATATGACTGTTAACCTCCTGGAGTCCCAGGAAGCTGGTACGTTGTAGACACATTTAAATCACTGTAGTGGGGAAGATACGCCCTCTCCAAGAATCTGTTTGAATTTGTGTCAAAAGTAGAGACTTCAAACTATACACCATTTTTAAATTGTGCTGATAGGCCAAATAAGACCAGAGTTATAAATAATTTATAGCACTTTGTTTCCATGTTCTTCATGTTTAAAAAACACACCTCAGTCCACCCACTGGTCTCACCCCCACCCTGCCAAACAAACATAAATCCCCTCCAACTCCTTCCTGACTGATGCCTGCCCTGAAATTATTTGTCAAGCTCCAAAAATCTGCAGGAAGATGAAAATTAAATGAAGTTCAGCAGCGATAGAGACAGCGAGAGTGGGAGAGAGTGATGTGATTTGAGAGTATTTTGCGTTTGGACTTTATAGTTAGGGTGTTCAGAGTTTAGTTTAGTCTCTTTTGTCTTTGAGTCTAAACCAGGGGTGTCAAACCTTTCATCGAGGGCCACGTGAGGGTTATGGTGGTGGCCCTCGAAGGGCCAGTTGTGATGAACTTTGAAAATGTTTAACTTTGACTAAACAGAGTTTTAACACGTTCTCTTTTAAACACTGATAAGAACTAAGTGAACAACTGACAAAATCTGAAATGAATACAGAAATATTATCAAAAGTAAAACTAATAAAGTTTTACTCACTGATGAGTTTCTAATGAGTAGCTATGCATTATGGCGGATTTAGTTTATGGTGGATAATGACTTTAAATTAGCTTATTTTCAGACATTAATACTGAGCTACCCAACTAAACTGCTCAGTTACTTAAAGCCAACAGCTCAGGGGCAGGACATTGTTATTATCTTTCACCTTTTAAATTTATTTTGTTGCATTTAGTCATAAACTTAAAGTTTACTATTGATATTAGGGCTGCAACTAACGATTATTTTAATAATCAATTAATCTGTCGATTATTTTTTCGATTAATCGGCCAAATCATTAAAACACTTAATTACATAAATATGATTAGATATAAATTAATTCAATTCCTGTATAAATTAGGGATGCAAGTTATCGATTAATAAATTAGTCTGAAGTTGATTTGTCTTATAGATTGACTAACAGTTAATTAATAAGCAGCCATTTTCTTAAAAACCTGAGTTTTCTATTGAATCAAGAGGATCTTTTCATAAAATTAAGGATTTTTTAAAATAATATGCTAAATAAAAAAAGAAGCACATCATAAATATTTTCATAATTGATTTTGCAGCTGTATTAAACACTGACTGGAAAAAATAAACCCAAAAATGTGGATTTCTCATACGTTAATAAACTTGGTTGTAGAAATAAAACATAACAAAACAGAAATTTAATAGGTTGCTGAATGAGGAAAACAGATAAAACGGGATAAATCTACTTGGCCTAAAAACACAATTTAAAAACTGGTTTAAAGTTCGAAGTCTCTGCTTTTTCACTCGAGAGTCAGAGAGTGTGGATCCTTACAGGTAGAGTTTTTTCTTTCTTCCTAAACTTTATTTAGCTCAGCCAGCATTGACAACGCTCTGCGGGTGACGTACAGTAAACGGCTCCGCAACATGGTGAGGGACGATGAATCACAGGACTTAACGAATCGATAAACTCATTGCCAACGCTTTTAATAATCGAATTTTATCGATTCGTTGTTGCAGCTCTAATTGATATAAGAAACAATTTTCAAGTTAAATTAAGTAAAAAAATATATATTTATATTTTTACACGGGAGTGACCCGCGGGCCTTGAGTTTGACACACGTGATCAAACAATGAGGCAATATTTGATCGTGGATCTGCAGCTGATTGAGGTGGAGCTGTCGACAGACCGAGCCGCAGTCAGAACCTTTGCAGAGAGAGGAGGGAAGCTCAAAGGCAGGGATGGAGGAGGAAAAAACAAAGGGGGAGGACTTTGACGAGGAAATAGGCGATCCATTATCTGGATTAGAAGAAGAAAGAGAAGAGGAGCACTGAGGGGACTCTCAGGGAAATCCCCGGTCAGTCCACCCAGCGGCACTAATCAAATGAATGGTAAAGTGACAAATAATAATAATTTTTCCCAACCTTATAACACACCTGCAGCAGTGGCCTCTAACTGTCTCTAAAAGAGAACATGATATTACCGGTACTTGATAGCTTTTACTGTTTGCGTGTGTTGTTCATGTTTTGCATTGGTTTTACATCCTTGTTGTGATTCAGCAGATTTTTCATACAGCCAGACGTGTTCTCATCAAGCTGAGTAAGAGTTTTAACAGTGTGTTTAGTTTTTTCTGCATCTCTGCTGTTAGTTTCCATCCTTGTTTTGACTGAGGAGAAAGTGTGTTTGTGTTTGTGTGTTTCTCTTGCAGTTGGAGATTTACCTTTTACCTTCTTGCTTTCATTGCTGGCCTGGCCGCCCTCATCGATGTAAGTACAGTCGATTCAGCCTCAAACTGTCGTCACCTTCCTGGTTCTTGTTTCTCTGATGTTTTTCTATATTCTGGAGATGTTTGTTCTTTTTGCTCTGACAACTTTGTCGCTCACTCTGCAGAGAAGAAGCATGCTGACTCATCTCAGTGCTGACTCAGCTAATATAAATACACCTGTCCAGTTCTGCTGTCTCACTGGTCTCATATGTCCTTTCAGAAACCCTGGCTGTACGACCTGAAGGAGATGTGGCAAGGCTTTCCTGTGTTGGTATGACTGAGTGATCTTATTAATGAACAAATAAACAGCTCTCTTTCTCATGTTTTCATTACATGAGCTGGTACGACTAAATAAGACTGAAGGGTTTTAATAAAATCTAATAAGAGTAAAAATTATCATTAATGTAGACGATTTACGACAATACTTGTGAAATGTGTCATAAAAAATTACCTATTTATTAAATGAAAATTGTAGGTCTCACAAATTCAGGTGAATAAAATAGAATAGAATAGAATAGAATAGAATAGAATAGAATAGAATAGAATAGAATAGAAT